GGCTTGAATAAGTCCTGGAGGAAGTGCCGCCCGTCAGATGAAGTCAACCCCGCTGCTCCCGCATCTAATGAAGAGCGTGGACCAACCCTCCTCCAGAGCAGGCGGAAGCCCCCTGGTTCAGCAGAGGCTGGGGGAGGCCTGGGGGGGGGCAAGCCGGAGGAGTGGAGGTGGGACACTGGTGTTCTCGGCCAAAACAATGATCTTAAATCTCAGTTTTCCAAGGGAATCTCTTCAGCTTCTGCCGTCAGTGTGCTATGGACTGCACAGCTCCCCCATCCACACAGTGAAGCCCTAGTCCCCAGGAGGATGGCACAGGATGTGGGGCCCTCGGGAGGTGGGTAGGGTTGGATGAGGTTGTGAGGGTGGGCCCATGATGGGACCAGTGCCCTTACAAGAAGAGGCACCCGAGCTCCATCTCCCTCTCCACCAGGTGAGGACACGGCAAGAAGGTGGCCGTCTGCAAGCCAGGAAAAGGGTCCTCACCATGGCCCAACCCTGCTGGCGCCCTGATCTGGACTCCCAGCCTCCAGCACCGTGAGAAATCAAGGTCTGCTGTGTAGAGCCGTCTGTGGGGTTCTGCTGTGGCAGCCCGAGCCCACTGAGATGCAGGGCCTTGGCCCCGTGTCGAGATGGCTCCCGAGGGGAAGAGAGCGGAGTGAAGACCGGGAGCAGCTGATTCTTCCTACAGTAAAAGCCACCAGTGGCTGTATTGCCGTCAGTTCTGGTCAGGAGCTGCGACCCCCAAATTAAGCCTTTAATCCTGACCTGGCCCTTCCTACCGGCTGCCCTAGAGACGGCCACAGCCTCTCCTGCTCAGAGGCATCAGGAGGGCCCATGTGCCAGGGCAGACGCACAGTAAAGATGGACCTGCTCTTCTAAACCGGACTGCCTCATCCCCCGGCCCAGACTGTCCACAAGCCATTATTCCCAGAGCTTGTGATGAGATACTTGAGAACCTAGGGAGGTGGGACCCTCTCACAAAGCAACAAGGGCAGGACGGTCCCTTTCCCCTGGGAATGAAGCTCAAGACTTCTCTGTCCCATCAGTCCAGAAGTTACACGGCGGCTGAATTCTACCAGCTGTTCGTACTTCAGGCCGGCAGGACTCCTGAGCACATGGGAAACAGCTGTGGGGACACTACTGGGGACAGCTGCCCCTGCACCATGGTCGCCCCTCCTGAGGCTCGGGGTTGGCCCCTCGCAGCCTCGACTGCTCTGTGTGACCCTGTCGCCCTCATTGGAGCTTCCGCCCCAAATGGAGTCACACAGAACCCTCCCCGGGACACTCGGGGACCAGTGCTGGGCAGAGAAGTGCCCCCTCCCAGGGTGTGGGGTGTGAGAAGAGGGGATCCGTGTCCCCACCGCAAGGAGACGTCTTGTCTGCAACAGGGAATACAGCCAACTCCAGGAAGAGGCAGAGGCAGGAAGCAGAGGGTGACTCTTGTGCCTGTCACCCAGATGCACTCCTGCATGTCCTGTCACCTCCTGAGCCCCCACAGGAGCTTCTTCACATTGGGTTTCTGTCTCTTCCAACAAAGAGCTCTAACTGACACAACAGAAGAGACCACATCCTGACCACTCTAAAGCAGAATCAGGACCCCGGGACAAGATGGGACTGCCACTCGTTTGGGGCAGGCCCCGGTGAGATGTGGGAATCCACCATCTTGTCAGCACCTCCCCCAGCCGTGCGCCGGCCTCTGCGTGCACTCCTCCTCCCACCCATCCTCTTGCCCGCTCCAGCACTGCAGGGCCCTGGAGCACGGGGCTGCAGCACAGACAGCCCGTCCCAAGGGTGCCCCCAGCCTGGGGGAACAATGCTCCCCTTCGCTGCGATACCACCACCTCTGCCCGCTGCTCCCGAGCCTGACACTCGGTGCTGCCCGCACGGAAGCAGCTCTGTTCCCGTCTCGGGTCTCCACAGGTCGGATTCACTCACTTCTGTTTCTCCAAGTTGTTCATCTGCTGATAGGACCTTTTGGGGGGGGGGTGGTGGCACAGTTTGTTAAGGCTTTATAGTTTACGTTATCAACGCTGCATAGCAGAAAAACGCCAGAAGTTATTGACTTAAAACAACGTTTTACGGCAGTACCAACAAGGGAATACAGTTATCACGGCCTACGATCTCTGAGTCAGGAATCTGGAAGTGCTGGCTGGGTGGTGCAGGTGCAGTCAAGATGTGGGCTGGGGCTGCAGCCGGAGGAGCTGCTTCCCAGATGGCACCCTCACTCACCTGGCAAGCTAGTGGCTGCTGGAGTGACCTCATGACGTGGCAGCTGGCCTCCCCGTGAGTGACACACGAGAGCCAGCAGGAGACCACCGGGTCTTCTGACCTGGTGACAGTGTCACACACTGCCACGTCTGCCAATCCTCCCCACCAGAAACGAGTCACTAAGTCCAGCCCTCACTCAAGGGGAGAACTGGGCTCTGTCTTCTGATGGGAAGACTGTCGAAGAATTTGTAGATTTATTTTTAAAAGCACTACATTTAACTTTTAAAAAATCTTTGTCATCTCCCTGGATTCAGGGCAATGGGGAGATAGACCCAAGTCTTCTGCCGCCTTGATCCAATTTCCTATCACGCGCTGATCTTAACATTCAGTTCTCAGAAGAGAGGGAATTAACGCCCTTCCCAGGTCTTCAGGAAATTCTCCCAACATCTGTCAGATGCTTTCAACAAAAAGCAGAAAGATACTGGTCTCCCCTCGGGAGAACTCTGAACCCCATACAGTTTTTTTTTACAGATTTTATCTTTACAAAGATAAAAAATGGCGCGACTTCCCCTTCCCCGTCACCTGCACTTAGCCCGAGTGGAGCACAGGCTAGGCTACTATTTCGGAACCAGGGGTGCATGGAGAATTATGAAGTGTCATCTTCCATCATCAGGGAGCAAGGAAGGGATGCCCGGGAGGTTAATGGAGTCAGTCGTCCTAGCAGGTGCGCTGGCCTGTGCGTTACCAAGACTGTTCCCAGAGCCCCGACTGCAAACTTCCATCCACTGATCCATAACGTGCCTGCAGACGGCAGATTTGCCTTCGGGATTTACAAAGTACACGCAATTAAGCACGTGTGCAACTCAGTGCACACACACCCCTCACATCCAAGGCCACTCACTTCAAGGCCGCTCCCTGGAGCCAGGGGCCCTTAGTTCTCCTTTATGCCAGAGGGGCAGGGCGGCGGGGCAGCAGGGCAGTGGCAGGATGTGGGCACAGAGGACCCCAGCAGCCATGCAGCAGAAGAGGCCGGGGGCTGACCAGCAGCTGGGGAATCTGAGTGAAATCCTGCGACCGAGTCCACCCGACAGGCAGGAGGGCCACAGGCTGACCTGTCCTGCATTCTGATGCTGGGTTTGTTCCGTCACGTCCTAAAAGGAGGACTTGTGTGTCTCTCTTTCCACATCAACACCCTATAATTCTCCAGCTTGCTGACCTGTTGAAGAGTATTTACCCCTCTCAGACCCCAGAGCAGTATCAGACCAAACACTTAGTTCCCTGCCGTTTTAACCTTGAAATCTTTACAATGATGTGTTTTATAATAATTTTTCATTGTGTAACTCATAAAACTATTTGAGGTTTCTAAAAATTTTTGCATGATATACCTTCCAAAAGAAAACAGCTTTTAAAAAACTGACTTTTGAATTTAACATTCTCAATCTGTATGACTAGAGCCAGATTCATCAGTCATTCCCCCTACCCAGGTCTACTGAATTCCACCTGCCCAGGCCCTGGGAAAGGTGCAGGACCCTCACCCTGGTAAACGATTCAGAATCCCGGGGACCGAGCTCCTCCCACCTCCCTGATGTCCATCATAGGTGACATGCTTTGTTTCCATCAAATGTCCTCACTCAGAGCCTCCACGACAGAGGCCCTGCTGGCTGCGGACCACGGAGCCCAGTGTGAGCAGAAAAGCTTCCGTTTCATCATCAAAGCTATGTTATGAAAATGAAAGGTCTGAAGCTGCAAACTTCACTGCGTAGTTAGGAAAACCCCATCAACACAACTAGATTATCTCCTCAGGAGAGACGGGGACAACCCTTTGAAGTGACCACATCATCCAAGGGAGGCACAGGCAGGGACAGTCCACGGAGCACCAAGTGGCCCTCCATCCCATCTGTCCTCCTCAGCCTTGGTCGGGGGGATGAAAGGTGGGGCGTGGTGGAAGAGAGCCCCAGGTGTTTATGTTATTATCATGCTGTCTGCACACATTTCAATCCTAAAAACCAGAGAGTTTCCCAAAACACCGAAGGCTTGAGTTTCCTCTGTGCAATGGGAAACCAACCCCCTGATCAACATAGAGGTCATGAAAGGTTAATTTTAACATGAAGATTTTTAATCCAGGTTAAACAATACTTCAAACAACCTGCCCTTCTAAAACATGAGGCTGATGTGGGGTTTACCTATGATTACAACAAATTAGGCATAATTGTAGCTCAGAATTGAGTAAAAAAATAATGTGCTAGTTTTCTTGTTAAAATTCAAAAGCTTGACTGTAAAAGATTTATAGTGAGGGAGTTTAACCTAGAAATCTCACACTGAACAAATACTAATGCAGATGAAACACAAATGATCTACACCTATGATCACACAGAGAATCTAAATGGGGTGAAAACGAACCCTGTGTACCTGGATATAAGGTAATGCCAAGCCACAAGCATACAGTTAAGGCAGTTCCTTTATTGGGAACAAGAAAAAGGCGTAAGCAACTGCGAGCGTCCCCCAACACGAGAGCTCGTCCCCCAGGGCATGCCCCTCCCGGTTTTCTGGGAGAAAAGCATCTTCCATCTGGTCAGTCATCTACTACTATATCTTCTTACAAGGCAGGCGTGGCATGGACTGAAATCTGCCTAAAGGCGAAGAATCAGGTCCCGATGGGGCAGCTAATCACCCATGTCTGGGGAGACGGGACTCAGGCGGGTTCCAGACGAACGCGTGTGCTGACACAGGGCTACTGAACCACTGATCTCGAATTAGAAAAGAGGAATGTGATTTGTCCATCTTTCCACAGATGCTTCCAGGTAAACATCAGTCTTCTAGCTCCCTTCATTAAAACCTATTCTGATCAAATAATCTTACAAAGGAAAGCACGCCTCGCCTCAAGTCTAAAAGCAATGAGCAAATGACAGATTTTCTGCTGTCGTCATGCCCCTCTAGAGGGGGGCGTGAGGCCCCAAGGAGCACCCTACGCTGACTGCGCCAAAAATTTCACGTACTGCCCCCGAGCCTCGAAGTGGTCAGCAGGCCGGTTGTATGCCGTCCACACCGGTTCTCCCACAAACAGCCGCATGGCCTTCACATAGTTCTAGAAAACACAAACACACCCAACACCACGTTAAACCAGCTATCAAGAGAGCTTCCCTTGCTGTTTTTATTCTTGTGTCTTAACACTTTAGTCACATTTTGTCCTCTGAAAAACGTCAGGGTTGGGTGCTCTGGCCAATGCTGAGAAGCCCTGTGCTCAGGCAGCAAAAGCGTCTGCAGCGGGAGCAGGGGGCTGAGCTCCACACTCCCCACAAACCTATCCCTGTGGGCGCAAGCACCGCCACCTGCCCGACACAGCCCTCTCCCTCCCGCCTCCTGGGGTACCGTCGTCCTAGGAATCAGCAGGGCCCTCACACTGAGGACAAGGGAGGGCAAGCTGGCATCACCCTTCAAAATTAAAAACACATTTTAGGGCCGGCCCCATGGCTTAGCGGTTAAGTGCTCGCGCTCCGCTGCTGGCGGCCTGGGTTCTGATCCCGGGCGCGCACGGACGCACCGCTTCTCCGGCCACGCTGAGGCCGCGTCCCACATGCAGCAACTGGAGGGATGTGCAACTATGACATACAACAATCTGCCGGGGCTTTGGGGGGGAAAAATAAAAAAAAAAAAACTTAAAAAAAAAAAAAAAAAAACACACACATTTTAATCCAGTTTTCACTTTTAGGAATTTATCTGACAGATATACGCAAGTGCAAAATGATAAATGTATGAGGTTATTTATTATGGCACCATTTACAATAGCAAAGAACTGGAAACAATTCAGAAAGCCATCAGTAGGGATCAGCGATTCAATGAAATAAATTCATGGTTAGATAATTAGGGTGCACCCAACCACGGGTGCTACGCAGCTGTAAATAAGGGATGAGGACCTACGTACTGACATGAACCCATCCCCAAAGAAAATCAAGTGGAAGAAAGGAAAATGCAGAACCATGTACAGAAGTTGGCTACGTCCTGTGTAAAAAGGACAAAGAATTCCGATTCTCAATCACCTGAATATGGGTGACATCTCTCCAAAAAGACTTTTTATTAAAAACATAATGCTGGTTACTTTCAGGGAGAGAAACGGAGGCCAGAGAACAGGGGTGGGAGGGAGACTTTTCACTGCATACGCTTTCATAATTCTGAATTTTAAACCATATGCCTTTATTTTCTATTCAAAAATTATTCTTAAATCTCAGGTTTAGTCCAAATCACATGCAGAGAACCTACGAACTATCTTATTTCTGTTTTTTGCGAATCTTAATGACTGTCCTGCACTACCATTAAGTTCCAAAACTGCAACGCTCTTAAAAATGACAAAGTAACAGGAACCCTGGGATGCCTCCCGAAGCTGCACCCCCAGAATAACGTGCACACTCCACTAAAGGAGCGGGACCACTTCCTGTCGACCTGCCCGCCTCGGCCTGACGGTGCAGTGTGTGCTCGCACGTGCCACTGTCCGCCAGGAACCATGGCAGAGCCGGCAGAGAACAGAGATGGACGTAGGAGCCGCAGCTCACGGCCTCCAGCTGGACCTCTCCCGAGAGCAAAAGGCTGCAGGAGCCACGTGCTGCGGCCACGCGTGCTCAGAGACATTCGTCCCCACGCGGCAGAGCGGGCATGTCACAAGCTTCCCACATCTGTGCACAGACCAGACTCAAAACACGACGAGTCTACCTTCTCGTCCAGCGTGAAGCGGTGATAAATCCCCGCAGGAAGAGTGATCATGTCCCCCTTCTCCATGGAGATCCGGATCCACCTGTCCTCTCTGTCTCTTACGTCGAAGTACCCACTGCCGTCTAGGATGTAGCGGATCTCATCGTCCAGGTGCAGGTGCTCCTCGTAGAACATCCTAATCTAGAGCAGAGGGGAGGCCCGGTGAGTCTCCTGGAGACCCACCCTGCAAACGGGCACAAACCACCACCGGCCCCAGCCTTCAAGGACCAGAAGTGACATGGACGGAAATCTGCTCCATAAAAACAAGAATTATGATAAGAAGGGCAAGGGGGCGGGAGCTAGAATATTTTATGAAACCTACCAATGAACTAGCAGTAGAAGAAAGAATCAACACTTACGTAGCACTTACCACGTGCCAGGCGGCGTTCTAAATGGTTACATAAAATAACTCACTTAGGTGCTATTTGTCATGCCCATGTGACAGATGAAGGAATGGTGGCACAGAGAGGATAGGACACTGGCCCAACATCACACAGCTTGGATTTGGAGAGCCGAGACTCCCACAGACATCCCGACTCCTGCTCATAACCCACCGCACACAGCAGTCACGCCGACCACATGCAGTCACACTGACCACACACACACGCAGTCATGCTGATCACACACACGCAGTCACGGTGACCACACACACAGCCACGCTGATCACACTGGAAGGCTAGAAGCCACATGAAAATCTGAGGAAGGCAGTCACTGTCTCAATAAATGAACACTTTCCATTTGTTCAAATCTACTTTTGTGTCTTTCAGAAGGTCTTTATCCTCCTAATATTTAATAATAAAAATATTCAGGGATTGGTGGCGTAGCGGTTATGTTTGCATGCTCTGCTTCAGCAGCCCAGGGTTCTCCGGTTCAGATCCCGGGCACGGACCTACACACTGCTCGTCAAGCCATGCTGAGGCAGCATCCCACACAGAGCAAACAGAAGGATGTACAACTATGACATACAACCATCTACTGGGGCTTTGGGGAGGAAAAAGGAAAAAAAAGGAGGAATATTGGCAACAGATAGTGTTAGCACAGGGCCAATCTTCCTCAACGACAACAAAAAAAGAGTTCTTTGTATATTTTAAAAAATTCAAATATGCATTACTCTGATACAAAACCCAAACGAAGACATTAAAAGAAAAAAGAAAACTGTATTTATTAGTAGTGAATATGATTCCCCTTTCAAATAATTTAACATTCCCTTACCTTTTCTTCATAATTTGGCAGTTTATCTTTGCATATGGTTATGATGTCCATCCAGGAGTAGTTTCTCTCTTTTCGGATCTTTTCTAATTCCGGATCATTCTCATATTTGTCGGCATCCAGCTAAAAGCATTTAAACAACAAAAGGAGGTCACACCAATGCACGGAGACAGAAACATCCTCTTGGTGGATCTCCAAGGCGATTATGCTCCAAAATCATCACCTTCCTTGTCCTCCCTATGCCCCTCCCATCCTGCCCTGCTTCTTTCAATGGTTTTCCCTTTCTCTGTAACAGCTACAAATGGTGTTGTGTTTAATGCCTGCCCCCTTCTCCCCTACAGGCCTTCCTGGGGGATTGTGTTTCACATTTCTAGTCCCACTGCCAGGAGCCTAGGTGCAGCTCTCACGGCCTCAAGCTGTCCAAGGGCACACTCTCCCCGCTGTCCTGTTCCTCTACCACCATTCCACCACACAGGTCTAACCAACCTCTAGATGGCCATCTCTTTGGTCAGCTTGTTTCCTGGCCCTCAAACCTACAAGTAACACCCAAGTTCAACAGGCTGGGAGGAGAAGCTTCTATCATCTGGCCTCAGGGGCCTTTTCTACTCCTCTGTCCCTATTGCCTGTTTCAAAAAAATCTACCTTCTAAAGCAAATAGGGGCCAGCCTGGTGGCACAAGCGGTTAAGTGCGCACACTTGGCCTCGCAGGTTCGGATCCTGGGTGCGCACTGGCACACCACTTGCCAAGCCATGCCGTGGCGGTGTCCCATATAAAGTAGAGAAAGATGGGCACGGATGTTAGCCCAGGGCCAGTCTTCCTCAGGAAGAAAAACAGACGAGGATTGGCATGGGATGTTAGCTCAGGGCTGATCTTCCTCACCAAAAAAATAAAATAAACAAATAAAGCAAATAGGATCATTTGCTACTCTTCAAAAACACTTGATGCTTCTCACCCCCACACCATTATTCTTGACAGCTTCCTTTGCCTAGAAAGCCCTTTTACCACTTTCATTTATCAATCCTATCTACTCTTTAAGGTCTAATTTTAACGTCACCTTCTTCATGAAGCATTCCCCTAGGGCCCCAGCCAGAATTAATCTGAACTCCTACTTAAAACTATTGGCAATGAACTTCGCAGACTTTGCCTTCTGTTGCAATAAAATGCACATTTTATCACAACTACTGAACAGCAAACTCCAGAATATCTTGACTCATCACCCAGAGCGGGCAAGAAAGCAGAACTGGACTTGACCCCATGGAAGAACTCAGAAGATGCCTTTTAAAATGTCTTCTTTTATCTTTTGGATCCACTTCGAAGTTGACCAGTATCTCATTCTTGCTCTTAAACTGTCAAAACACAACGGAACCCCCGAAGCACAGTAACTAGACCCTTCTGATTGTCTGGATTGCAGGTAAATTATTTTATCATAAAACAAAACTTACTTTCCTCTCATAGTAGACATTATACACCATTTGACTGCTTTGAAGATGGTAACTTCCAGTAGGTTAAGTGTTAAATCTTAGCCCAAGAAAAGATCAAAACTATGTAAATATTAACAGGCACACGAAACCAAACTCGTGTTTCCCTTAGACAGGAAGCCCTGCGAATGCCCGGAAGGCCAGACCAGGCACTGGCGCCCTCTACTCCAAGTGCACCCCGGGGACGTCACCTCTCCCCGTCTCAGAAGGCCCAGGTCATCGAGAGACTGCCCGCTGGAACTCGCTCTGACCCGTCCCGGGAAACGTGGGGCTCCGGGGTCCGGCCGCGCGTGCATCACCCCGTCCGGACGGACCGGACACCACGTGGGCACCTCCACCTCATAGGCTCGGGGGACCCCACGCGGCCCCCCACAAGGGCCCTAGAGGGACCCCAAACCCTCCCGCCCCGCCCCGTGTCGCCCCCAACTCAGCCCCATCCGACCCCGGCCCCAGCCAAGAACAGCGGCGGCCAACGACCCGCCCGCTCCGAACCCCGGACGAGCCTCCGCACCCTCTCACCCTCCAACCCGCGCGCCCCGGCCCCCGGCCGAACATGCGCACCGCGCCCCAGCCCCGACCACCCGGCCCCCGGCCGAGCATGCGCCCCGCCCCCGGCCCTGTCATGGCCTCTGTGCCCCTCTCGCCGCAGCCTGCGGCTGTGCGCGGGAGCTCGGGGCACCTGCGGGGAGACCTCTCCCGCCCGCCCGCCCCTGAGCCCCGGGCCGCGCCCCGTCCCCGCGTGCCTTCCAGTAGTAGACTCCGAGCCGGCGCAGCTGCTCCAGGTCGACCGGGCGGTCGGGCTGCGCGCGGTGGGGCCGCCTCTGGTCGTCGGCGGACTCGTCCATGTACCAGGCCTGCACCATGGTCGGGCGGGCGGCGAGCACCCCGCGAGCACGCGGCCTGTCCTCGGGCCTGCTCCCCGGCCTGCACTCCGCCCCGCGCGCCGGCCTGTCCCCCGACCTTCACCCCGGTGCCCGCGCCGCCCCGCC